GCAAAGCGCCACCGGAAAGTGATAGGGTGGGGTGGAGTTTATGGATGAGGGTATCCAAGCATCACGAAAGGTGGAGCGCAGGTGTGGTGGGAAAACACTGCTATATGGGTAACAAATATTTCCCCAGAAAGAGGAACGAGCTAGACAAGACAGCTTGATAATGTAAATGGGGGGGGGGGTGTTCATTTCCTCTCTGCACCCTGATCCTCTTCTCCCAAGAAGGATTTGACAAACTGCAACTCCTAACACAATCACATACTAGTGAACAAGGACAAGACAAAACTGGATTAAGCCCCTATTAACACAGGTAGCACAGACTAGACCTCAGTGAGGCCACACCAACACAGAGAACTTACCGCAGTGCCAACAAAATCTGTTGAAAACATAAAAAAAGAAAGTTAGGATTGTGGTGCGGGTTGTCCAGTTCTCCTACCGTTGTCTTGGGCCTAATCAACATCTGTTCCTGACTCAGAAGCTTCTTATTTCCATGCAGATTGTAAGTGGGCTAGAAGTATGCACTGAATATTGCCTGTAACCTGAAGGGTAGCCAATCTTAGTTTTGCTTTGTACCAATTCTGTGATGTTCAATCAAATCCTAGACAGTAATTATTCAGAAGCAAGGGCCGTGGTTTTTAATGGGATGTGCTTCTTTGCCAATGTGTTTTAAGACCACAGCGTCTCATTTAGTGTAGTGTTCTCTTAATGGGTCATTGGATGAGGACTGCTTTTCATCGAGAATTCAAAGAGGGGACCCTGCATCCCTAGCCATTAAAAAGTGAGGCAAAGTGTTTCTCTCTTCACAGCAGCAATCCACCATTCTTCCATGAACCCTTTTGCCTTTCTGGTCTTCTAAAATTGATGCTTTCTCTTGTTAAGGAGGCCATAACACGCTCTCCACCATCACTGCTTAAAATCTAATACAGATGGACTAGACAGAGTTGTCAGCTCTTTAGTGGGTTGTTTTAGGTGTGAATTTAACAGCAATTTAATCTGCAGTAGTGAAGCTTTGCAAAGCATAGGAATAATCACGGCTGCCAACCAACTGCAGCAGGCAATGGTTGAAAACCTGCCAGCTCGACATCATGCTATTTTAGTTGGGGAAAAAGTGGCATTTATGGAAATTTCTAAAAAAAACAAAAAACAAAACCAGCAGCATGGCTAGGACATGAGTTTATCCTTTGGATATGGTCTTACAAGCGTCTTGTTTTTTATGGGCTATCAGGCATCATCTGGGTCCCTATCCCTAACCTTTGAACGGAGGGAGCAAGAATAGACTCCCCATGAAAAGGTGACTGTATTTGGAGCCTCTCCGTTTAGAATAAAAGTGATAATAGTATATAAAATCATGCATTGGGTAAAAAGACACCTTTCTTCCTCTGATAACATATAAGAATCTGGGGCTGTACTGGAGCTACACCTGGGCAGATTCAGGATGAACAGAATGAAGGACTTCTTGATGCAGTTGCTGGTTAAGTTATGGAATTTGCAGCTACCACAGGTGATGACGGGCACCAATTCAGATGGTAGGAGAAGGCAACTGGACAGCAGTTGCTCACAAGTTCGTGGATGATCCAGCTTCCCGTGGCCTAGCCTTTTGTTGACCGTATTTAAGGCAGCTGTCCTTAAATACCAGCTCTTAAGAAGTGGCAAGTAAGAGGGAGCTTGTTGCCCCAATCATATTAAGATTATGAGCTTACAAAGTGGAATGTATCTGGCTGGCAATTGCGTTAGCGATGAATGCTGGTATAGACAGACCTTTGACCTTTAATGCAAAAGATAGACTGCAAACAGAATCTCTGGATGTCTTTCCACCTACAAAGGGAAAGGGAATTTGCTTAGCTCTTCAGTCCTTCCCGGCATCACTTCTTGCTGTTTCAGCATTTGGTTCTTGCTGGCAAGTCTGCCCTTCCTTAATACAAACAGATGGTCCAAACCCAGAGGCCAGGAGATTTATTCTGATTAATTAAATTTCCAATTAGGCACCTTTGGTTCTCTGGCTTTCATCTAAGTCTTGGCAGGACCAGGAGAAGCACAAGCAAAAGCAGGTAGTGTCTACTTTTCCTCTCTGAGGTGGAAAAAAATAGGACTGATCTAGTGTCACCCAGTGAACTTCAAGGCTTAATGGGCATTTGAATCTGGACTTGTCTGTTCATTATCTAACACTTTGAGCTACTCCCCAAATGAGGTACAACTCTGAGCACCATAAGAAAAGAAGGGATGGACAGGGAATATGATTTTATCTTAGAGCTGAGTCCTCGCCTTTTGTGATAGCAGGAATGGGGGCAGAAGTTACTAGGTTTGCCAATACAACTTGGTTATCAAAGTAACTCATTTGGGGGAGAGGTTTGCACAATAGACTGGACAGGGTTGTGATACTTAAGGTATTGTCCACCCCAATGCACAATGATCTCTGAATTAACACTGGATATAGTAGACTCTCCTCTTAGAGGATTTCAGTATCCCATGGAGGTTGCCAATTCAGGAATGGCTCAAGATTTCATGTCCACAGTGATGACTATGGACTGTCCCAGTTGGTATCTGGCTCCACACAGGCAGCATGGCATCTGCTGGATTTGGTATTCTGTTTGGCTAGTGATCTAAAATTGGCAGAACGTTCTGTAATTCGTGGACAAATAATTATTTGGTCAGTTTTACACTGATAGCTGCTATAAACCACTGCAGGGTGGATGACAAAATAAAATGGTCCAGACCAGATACCTGATGGAACCAGAACATTTGTTGAATGTGTTTGGGGAATCCACCTCTTCTCTGTAAGCAGTAGCATTGACCTGGTTGAGATGACATTATCTCTTCCCCCTAGAGCTCAGTCAGCACTAGGGAGGTGACTAGAAGATGGTTGGAGTGCAAGTGGAGGAACTTTCATGATGAACCAGACCAAATCCTACTCCACAACAACTGGTGCACTGAAGAGGTCTTACTTTTCTGCCTCCATTGCAGGCCAACAGTATTTCTTCCATAAAAATTTCAGGAGAGGGAAGTCAGAACAGAGGTTCACTGTGAGCAGTTTTCATTATTCTCAGTTTGTCTCAGTTTGGATCCCATTGTTCGGGCAAGTCACTGGGGTTGAACTTTGACAACTGCTTGTTGGGTTTATATGGATTCTTCTCACCTGGTAGATCTTGAGAATGTAGACAGAGTGTGTGAAGAGATGAGGGCAACTACCTACTTGCCTTTAAGTTGGGACTCATCCCATGGTTAAGGATTAGTGCCTTCTTGAGTGCGGGTCTGTCCCTGCATGTTTAAAGGAAACAATTAAAAGACCTTTTTGAAAAAGATTCTCCTGGAAGATCTTTATAATTGGATGCCAATCTCAAATACCTCATTCTTGAGTGAGATGGTTAAGAAGGTGGTCTCACAGCTCCAGATACATTTGGATAAAACTGATTTTCTGGACTCATTTCAACTG